TATGTTCCGGACATCAAAACATTGTCTGCAGCCAGACACCAACTCTGATTGGTCCACTGAACCTGATGCACTCACATGTCAAATTCAGGTCAGGCTAGACTGAGTGGGAAAACTTTGGTTCAAAACAAATTGTACAACTACTCTTGCATGAAATTAGCTGGATATAATTTACAGAAACATTTGCTGTTTATGTACTGAACTTAGTGATAAACATGCAGAGAACTGGACTGAGCTCTTACATGTAGGGTGTGCATGTGCTGCAATTTTTGTTGCAACACTGGGACATGTTAAGACATGTTTTACAGAACCATATTTCAACATGGTTGGGGCAAGGTGTAGTTTTTGCAGTCTGGGTGATCTTGTCAGAGTGCTGAGTAAGCCATTTAATTTTTTTTCCTGTAGTGTATGGATGTCACTAAGACTAACTAATTTTATTTCAAGGAGCTACAAAATACCAAACATTCCTTATTTATATGTGCTGGAACCTATTTGCATTGTCTTCATTCTACTGATGGGTCTACATGGCTGTCTGAAAATTAGCAAGATGACACAAATATCTTGTTTGCTGAACCCAACACAGGGGCTTAATTTGTGTTCATATCTTAGTGTAATCTGGTTCAGCACTTCCCAAAACCAGTCTTGGAATGCATGAACTGCATTGGTGTGTGGTGGATGATGGATTTTATAAGGTGAATATGCCAAATTCACCAGATCCAGCTAATGGATATCATCAGAAAGAAAAGTGGAGTGGTCTGGGCAGCAGAACCATGATGGGAAATGAAAATGGTCTCCACTAGTCATTTAGAAATGAAATGTTCTCTGCTGACACAGTATTTATTTTGAAAAGATGTAATGCAAATGTTGTACTTATGTAATCCCTGATGCTTTCAGCAAAAAGACAGACAAAGCCAAAAACTGAGTAACAATTCAGAGCAAAAAATGCAAGATAAGACAATGCATTCAGCAATCAGCTCTTCAGTTCCTGCATTCTTAGCCAAGCTTTGGGCTATGGTGAATGAAGAAAGCACTGATTCAGTTATTGGATGGACAGAGGTGAGTTTGCATGTTTTGACATTGGTTTGGTATGAAAATAATTGTTAGTTAATATTATATCAACCTTTATTCAGTTCGTGATAAGTTTCCTCTTCTGATGATATATCTGTTGACATTGCCCACACTTGGTTGATGTATTTACATGTAGATAACCCTGATTGGACTGGTACTTTTTACTATCTGACATTTTACATGCTTCAGGCAGATAAGTGTACCACTTGTGCACATCATAAGTTTAGACTGCAGCCAGAATCAGGTGCATTCTTGTTTAAAATTGTTTTGTTTTCAAATGTCTTTGCCCTTTGTAACAGTGCTCAAATGACCATAATATTTCAGGACCAGAAGTCTTTCTACATCCGAAACCAGTCCGTTTTCTCAATGGAACTCCTTCCTGTCTATTACAAGCACAACAACATGGCAAGCTTTGTGAGACAGCTCAACATGTGTAAGCATTTTCTTTATTGCTATTCCACCATTAGTGTGTGTACTGAACTAGTGTGTTACTGCTTAAAGCAAGGCTTAGGCTTTTGGGACTTTTTGGCCCCTGTCAGGTTTGCTATGGCCTTTTGAAATCATTAGATAGACTTTTGGCATGCAGAATGTGAAACCATGCAAAATGGAAGGCTGCTATTAAGCTTGGGTATGACATGCTACTGTAGTTTTCTCACTAGGAATGCAGAATGACACAAACTGTGCAAGGGTATGTGACATCTGGGAATTGGTCCAAATTATGATGGATGCTGTGTAAATGAAAATATTTGCTGCATTCAATGAAGCATGTGTTTGTTTTGGGTGTCTGGGAGCTATAATACCAAAGCATGCATCCAAGTGCCACTAGAACCATGAAGGGCATCTGGCTGCAGTCTGGAAAGTCCTGGCGGGGTGCCGGGACTGCACACACAGTGGGGGAGGGGGCGGGGCGTTCATCGCGGCCCTGCCGTGGGTGGCCGGTAGCGACCGTGGCCTCCTGTGACGTCACCGTGACGTCACCGGCAGACGGCTTCAGGAAGGTGCTGTCTCCGACGGCTGGCTCGCTGCGTAACGAGTCCGACGAGATGATCTTCGCACACTCCGACTTCGTCAAGGACGAGCCGTGGGGCCTGGACAACATCAAGCGGAAGGTAGGCCGCCGCCGCTGCTGGAGAGCCAGCCGCCGTCCGTACATCGGGTGACGCCCGCACGGGGAGTGGGGGTGGTGGGGGCAGGCCGCGTAGGCTGTGCTTGTGGTGGGGGTCGGGGCGTGTGTGCGCCATACCTGTTTGCCTGTCGTTAGGCGCGGGACGCAGCAGTTTATCGGGATCACCACCTGCCACCTGCCAATTGCGAGCAAAGCAGTCACCCGAGAGCTACCGGATCGACTCGCTGCGCTATAAACCGACCTCCCCCTGGCATTGATGTCAAGATAGCAGTGTGGAGTTTTGAGGACGTTTTGGCGGACAATTAGTTTTATGTTGCATTGTGTTTCTCCTCTAAGCTTCACAGGCGACATGGCTGTTCAAGGCCCAGCATCACGTAGACCATTAGAAAGTTACATAATCGGATAAAATGCGTACTTACTCATCCACCAGCCAGGCTCACCCAGTAAACGACACGGCATATGTGCGACACACAGAAGTGTTCGAACGAACAGTGTTTGCTTTGGGGCTTTGATGAACATATTCGGGGTTACGAAAGGGAGCCGAAGCGTGCACTCTTCAACATGAAATGATCATATAGATCAGCATTCATTTGCGTTTTGTAACGGTTTAACGGAATCCGGGTTGGATGGCGATGTCATCGTTGTCTGAAGCAACGCTACGTTTAAGGTAACGCTGCTGATGGGTTTCGATGCAATTGGTCTTCAGCAAATGGTCGTCGCTATCTACGCTGCGTCTGTCTGATCAATGTTACTTATCGTTGCTTTCTGAGGATTTTTTCCGTTGCCATGGTGATGCTCGGAGGGATGATACATGAACGCCATTATTGTAATTGAGCCAATGTTTGGCAATGGACCCTCTGTCGTTTGCTTCAGGCCTGTTCGGAATAAGCTTAAAGTATGACTGCTTGCAAGCCACGCCCATGGTGTATTGGAGGTACTTACCAAAACTATTCTGGCTGTTCATAAGAACTTCGAGCACATAATTTCACTGAACAGCAGGGAAAATCGTGCTTCATCCACCGAGCTTACGGCGACAAAAACGAACACTATGGCTCACCACATACTGTGAGCATGTCCAAATTACTGAGGCGATTGCTGAGCGGCCACAGAACGTCTTGGGAGTCAGGCAGCCTTTCAGTGTGGTCTGCTAAGACCCGAATGTGGTGGTGAAAACGGTGGGCCAACAGTATAGCACGGAGTATACATGGGATACTCGGAGTATACATCGGATACATCGGCCAACAGTATACATCGGAGCGCAAATACGCGGCGTTAAATGTAAAGCGTGGTCTTCGCTCAGTCCTCAGTTGGCCATTGCTCAGGCTTATTTTGCATATAGGAATTCCAAGCCAGCAATGTTGTCTCTACCGCAGTCGTCTGATTGATTTACCACTACCGCAATCAGCTTCGGCACCGCAAAAGTTTGGTTATAATGCAAGTTGCCTTTCCGTCAGCTCACAGAGCTGGTCAAAGATCCTCTCTTCTGACACTTCGGATGGCGCCGCGAGTGGCGGACGGAATTATCTGCAAAATTTGATTCCTGTGATCGTCCTTGCTTTGTCATGTTGCATTTCATGTACGAGAACTATTAGCGTGAATTAACACGCTTCACCCAAATTGGTATCGGGATAAATCGCGGTGCCAGCTGTATAGCGGCTCGAGCTACTCTATGAATTACTTTCTTTTGGGATGTTCGCCTGCTGACCAGCTCCCCCCCCCCCCGTGTATTACAATGACATCACTGCGTGCCTAAAAGTGGACTGTATAGTGTCTGCCACGCGCCAGCCTGGGGGTACATCGCAGCCAATGATCGGCTCTGCACTGACCACGCCTGCCGGCCAGCGTTCGAACGGCGTGTTCCTCCTGAAAATCGACCGCGCTGTTGGGGCCTGACATTCGCGCAAAAGTGGCGCAGCGACAGACAGACAGTCGGCAATAATGTGTAGACAAGTGCTTTGGTGCGCTGGTGCTGAAGGCTTGAAAATGTATGAAAAGACCTGTCGCGTTCTGTGGCCGATTTGTGGGTTGTTTCCGGCAGCATTCGACAACATTCGTGGGATTTGTTGGTCGAACCGACCTCTGGCCATCGGGATGCCCGGTGGGAGACGGGAGTGAGGGTGGGGTAGGTGAGGGGGTCAACAACGGGTGCGTGAGAGCCATGCGAGGAGCTTCATCTGCAAGCCAGTTTTCTTGCGCAACATGAGGTGAATCGTGTGCAACTTCGACGGATATGGGCAATAACCCCCCACCCCCGCTTTGCCTGTCCGTGCGCGCTGGTAAGTGGTTGTTTGAGTTGTCTGAAGGGCACCACGATATCTGCTTCAAGAGGTAATCGTAAATCGATGGAGCATGGGGATCGCGTTCATCAGATAAAAGCTGTCATTGTGCTGGCACATGCCATGTTATCTTGCGTCGAAGCTGATGAGGTAAACAAAAGCAGGGAAATAACATATCCGGAAGCAACGTTTGAGGTATCCTGTTGTATGTAGCCTACGAACTGCTTACTAAGACGAAGCTAACGATTGTGCAGCCTTGAAATCTGACTCTCCAAATGTCATTTGTAACTAGAGCGTAGTACTCATTCTAAAGGTTTCAAAGCACGCCGTTCTTCCAGCAATGCTAGTACCGGATATATTTGTTCTGTTCCCTTCTTTTTGTTGCGTGATGCCCTCGCGACAAATGACCCTGATGCACACACGCAGTAGTGCTTATCCGTTTTCTTTTTTTTAGAAGTCGACGTCCGCAATCCCGGAATGCGCTGTGGGCGCCGCTGGGTGGGGAAAGGGAGACGGGGGGGGGGGGGGAAGGGCACGCTCTTTATTTCCGGGCGGCCTGTGTGGGCGCTAATGTACCAGCCGACAAAAGCAGGCTTGGGTTCTGATTCCTGCGGACGGCGGACGGACACGGTGTGCAGGTAGCTGTCACACAGCCCGGCCCGGTTCCCTGTAGAAGATCAGGCGCCAACAAAAGGGGTTCGAACTTTATACTTAACAAAATAAGCCTAAGTTTGCTTCAAAATTAGCTTTTCAAACGCCACAATGCCGAACAAGTGAAATATTGACGTTTGGCACCTGGCCTCTGGCCCTAAAGGTCTGACTAGAACGCCGCCATAGTTGCGGCGTCATCAGGGGAGGCTCGTTTCTTACCTGGTACGTGCTATATTCGGCACTTGGAAGAATTAGTACATCGTGACCCCAAAAATGATGTCAAAGTGAGAAGTGTCATGAGAACTGGGAAGCACGGAACGATTTCGCAACCTTACACATGCTAAACTGGAAGTTTTTTTGCTGGTGGTTGGTCCAGTCCCGCTCTAAACGCGAAGGGGGCAATCTTTTGGTGGGCTGTGATTTGTAACGTGCGCATTGTACGCTTAACGTAGCAGCCCTTACACTTCCAGCAGCGGGTGCGACTGAAGCTTCGCTGGCAGGTGGACAAATGGTGTCCATACCGGCTTGCGTTGCTGAACATAACGTAAATAAAATCGAGCGAAGACATATTGCCGGGACGTTTGCAAATGTGTTTTTGTTTGCTTTGTGAGATTTCGATTATTTTGACGGTGCTGTTTGAAGGCTTCTGTGTACCGTTGAATTAAGGTTACGTTTTACGGTTAAAGGGAATGTTTAACATTTGGAGACATTGAGACAAGCACCAGCTCTGATGAATTAAACTCACTTGTATCTATTTGTATGCTTCCAAGTGCAAACGACTGCTCTAAACAACCAAACTTTAAAACTGTGTAAACGATGCCCTCAATACGTCATCGTTTTATTACGGCATGGAACATTTGCATGACGTCGGAGTTGACGCCAGGTGCCCTGCCAGAATTATTAATGTAGCGGACAGGCTGACTCACTTGTAATGCTTTGACCTGCCGAGAGATGACGCGCGTGTTTGTGCACGCTTGCGTAGCCCCAATATCGTTATGTGCACATGTATTCGCCCATTATCGTGGCGTTCTTGTATCCTTGTCTGTGATTTTATGTCTTTAACATGTATTCACACTCCCGGTTGTGGTGCTTAAGTTATTCGATTCCCAGTCTAATATTTTTCATCTGCCTTCGAAAATACGAGTTATAATGAATAACTTGTATTTTGTTTTATGGTTATTACTCGAAACACTGATACGAGTTATGATAAATAATGTCATCACAACTCGTAACAGGGCCCAAATTCCTGTATTATAAAGCACAAAATGTGATAAGTGCTGCACTCTACATATCACGAGGTTAGAAGGCTAGTTGGTGACCGCTGATGCCACGCACTGTGCTGACACACCAGACGCAAATAATTCGGCGATCATATCTGCTCTTGGTCTTGAACACTACATGGCCAATGAGGTGGCAGTATTCGCGCGGCGTTTATATGGCGTCATGAATGTTCAGGTGTCTTTGAATAGTCTGCACGAAGAATATGCCCAAGTTTGCGGCCGTCAAGCTCAGAAACAAGAAGGGTTAAGCCTTAAAAGGGACATGTGGGTAAACTGCACTGGATGATCTTCAAAGGGGTCACCTCAGTGAAAACCCCATACAAATGTAGATCACTCTCTTAAAGTGTCTTAAAAATCCCAGAGAGACGACAGGGAATCGGCCGTCTGGCAACGGAGCCGTTCCCTCCGCTCTATTCGCTTGATAGCGATCCATTCGCTCGCTGACCAATGCGCCGACCCTGTCCGGGTATCGAGCGCACCAGTTCTTTCGCTGCCCCCATCAACCGGCGTGAGAGCAGGTGCATTCAATGCGTTGGCCTGGATCGATTTAGCGGCACTTCCTGCAAACAGAGATCTCAAGTTTTCGCACGAACTCCGTGCCTCCACGGCGCGCTGTTTTCTACGTAGCCCGGCGCCATGAGGCGCTGAGTGCTTCAGGGCCCGGCTTCGTGCTGCGGGCCCCGCGTCTCGCCTGTTCCACAGTGTGCTCGGTCCTGCGGGCCTCGCGTCTCGCCTGTTCCACAGTGTGCTCGGTTCTTGGCGCGCCGACCGGCTCCTTCAGCGCTCGGCCCTCTGGTAGCGGCTGGGGTCGGCTCAGGGCCGGTGGGCGGGCTGTGCCCGTGGGGGGGGGGGGGGGGGGCGGTGGGAAGGGGGAGGAGCCGCACGACCATCTGTCTCTGTCGACTGGCCACGCCGTCCGTGGGCAGCCCAAGCTGAAACGGAGCCTCTGTATGTGAAATTTTCGAATAATCGATTGATTACTCGGATCCGGAGAATGCTTGAATGCTGGAGTGATTATTCGAATATTTGAAATCGTTCGAATGTCTTCTGAAGGCGACATTTCTAGCACAGGGCACCATTGTCCTTACGCAGGCGGCAGTCTTCCCTGTAAAACTGCTTAGCTGCACAGGGGCTGGGTGCTCCAAACAATCCAACGTAGTCGTTTGCGCGACCACAAATTGTGATGGCTGAATACAAATAGTCAACCACATTCAATACAGCACAGTAATCAATGAGGCATCTCTACGATCTTGGTATTTAATGCAGCACAGTAATCAATGAGACGTGTCTACAATCTTGGTTCCGCGATTCACAAATACGCCTCGTCACGACATGGAGTGTTTTTTTCTGTTACTAGTCCCTCCCATCTTTCCTCTGCACCCGACATCTTCACATGGCCATGGTGCGGCGGGCAATATATGTCGGATAGAACCCTCACAAAGCCACCACGGTATGAGTCTGAATACCAATGAATGCAGCCCGAATATGTGTTGCGCAAAATGGCCTCGCCGCCGTCGTGCTCGGAAGCCTGAAGCCACCGTCTTGAAGTGAATTGGGTTCTGCTCTGAAATGTATCGCTGTTGCTCCCCTGGCGTACCGGTAGGCTTGACGATAATGATGACGTGATGTGATTAACGCGTGTCGTCATCATGCTCGCCCGGTGGACTGTGCCGAGCAGATCCCACTGCACAAGGACGGCAAGCTGGCGACGAACAGCACCGAGCTGCTGTCGCGGCTGTACGGAGAGGTGAAGACGATGAAGGGCAAGCAGGACTCTTTGGACAGCCACCTGAACAAGATGAAGCGCGAGAACGAGTCGCTGTGGCGCGAGGTGCTCGTATTGCGCCAGAAGCACGCCAAACAACAGCAGATCGTCAACAAGGTAATGAGGCGGACTGGAGCGGGCGCATCGCCCGGCTAGGCGGTGCTGGGGGGGGGGGGGGGGGGGGGAGAGAGAGGCTCATCCGTACAGCCAGCGGCAGTAGCGACACTGCGGCCGGCATGAGTCGCGAGCTCGCCCCTGTCACACGCAGTCTGAGCAGCTGCGCGACCTGCCGAGTGATCCGTCTCGTGACCCGGAGCTCGCCGTCGTAACGAGGGCCAGACTGTTGTAGGTGGGGACACCTCGCTTCGGCGCGGTCGGCCCCGCGTCTGGTAGCAGGGACAGGGGCGGTCGGGCCCGCCACGGTCCCCGGGGCGTGGCAGAGCTTCAGGTGCCGGCGTGGCCTGGTACTGTTGACGGCTCGGATGGCCGGCGGGCCTGACCTCGGCCCGCGCAGCTGAAGCGGCCAGCGGCCCCGCAGATGAACGGCCGTGATGGTGTTGGACGGCGTCCGGAGCCAAACTGTTGCTGACTGGTATCGCGTTCCGGCCAGGGTACCGCCACCACCACGCGGGCTAGGTCGCGTCTTATTGCCCGCCGCTCGCCTGGGACTCGAGCGAGCGCGCACCTGCGCTGACCAGTCAGTAGGGCGCGGCGAGTCTGGGACCCCGCGGCACCGCGGCGACTGCAGTGCGTGCGGCCGCTGGTTAGGCGTCTCGGCCGCCGGCCCGATCGGCGACGGGCGCTGGTCGGATCGCAATCGGTCATGTCACGACCGTCGCCGGCCCGTCTGCGGCGCGCGGCCGCACGCCGGCGCGGCCGCTGGTCAGGTGTTTCGGCCACCGGTCGGCGTTTCGGTTTCGGTCGGCGACGTGCGCTGGTCGGAGTACAGTCAGTCGCGTCACGGCCGTCGCCGGCTCGTCTGCGGCGCGCGGCCACACGTCGGCGCGGCCCGGCCGCTACAAGGTCTTGCCGCCGGCGCCAACGGCCGGGCGCTGGCAATCTCCTCAGCTGTCGGTACTGGCGATGTTTCAGCCGCGGCTGACCAAACCCAATGCGGGAGCTCAGTGTATGGCTTGCCCGTCAGCAGCTGCCAGCGGTTTTTTGTGCCTGTTCGACGCATCTACCTCCGGGCTGGCACAGTCAACATGAAACGATGTACGCTTCGGCTACGTAATGTCACGTGACCTGAGGCGGATGTATGGTGATGATGGACCGATAAAGAAACTGAAATCTGTTCAAAGTCGATTTAGCGAGGTAATCATAGCTGTCATCTGAATCCTTTTGGCTTTGGCTTTTGGCAGGTGACCGTCCCGTCTCGCTATGCGTTTCTAGTCTTGACAGCGGCCGCCATACGCCTGGATGTTAATGCGTTCTGTAAGTCTGTGGGATGTCCATTGCGTCCCCGGTATTGATGTGTTGTGGTTCTAGGCTGGCACGCCCCATGTTTCCGAGTTGGGGACAGGACATACACAGGCCGCGGCCGGCGGCGAGTCTCCGCTTCATGACATGCCCCCTCCCCCCGCGCTGGGTCCCGGCACCAGGTCCTCCATGAAGCACCCTGCTCCGCCTCCCCCCGCGCTGGGCCTCGGCGTCAGGTCCTCCATGAGGCACCCTGCTCCGCCACTCCCCCCCCCCCCCCTCTCCCGCTTGCGCCGGCCCTCGGCAACAGGTCCTCCATGAGGCACCCTGCTCCGCCACCCCCACCCCCCCCCCCCCACCCTCCCACCCTCCCCCCTCCCCCCTCCCCCGCTCGCGCTGGGTCCCGGCGTCAGGTTCTCCGTAGGGCACCAAGCTTCGCTCCGCCCCCCCCCCCCCCCTCCCCACGCTGGGCCCCGGCGCCAAGTCCTCCGTGAGGCACCCTGCTTCAGCCTCCCCCCGCGCCACACGCCGGCCCCACGTCTCACGTCTCGCTGGCCGTGCGGCCCTGAGCCCGTGCTGACGCCGCCCCGCTCCGCCCGCAGCTGATCCAGTTCCTGGTGTCGTTCGTGCAGCCGGGCCGCGGCTCGGCCGGCATGGGCCTCAAGCGCAAGCAGCTGCCGATGCTGGAGGACACGCTGCAGGGCGAGCCGAGCGCCAAGACGCCGCGGCTCAGCCGCACCTTCTCGCTCGACGACTCGAGTGCCCACCTCGATAGCAGACGGGTCAGTGGGCGGATGGGGTCCGGACGTCTCGAGTGCCCACCTCGATAGCAGACGGGTCAGTGGACGGATGGGGTCTGGACGTCTCGAGCGCCCACCTCAGCAGACGGGTCAGTGGGCGGATGGGTTCTGGACGTCTCGAGCACCCACCTCAGCAGACGGGTCAGTGGGCGGATGGGGTCTGGACGTCTTGAACGCCCACCTCAGCGGACGGGTCAGTGGGCAGGGTGGGATGGAGTTAGGGTCTGGCAGGAAGTTCAAAATGTGGGGTACTTTCCAAAGTTACAGCACTGAGGAGCTTGTTCTGGAAACGTATTCTGTTCAGGTGGATGCACATTCTCCCTGTCCCTGAATAAAGATGTGATGGCTGCAAAGCTTGGATTGAGGTTGATCAAGATCTGAATTTCACACCTACGAATACCTCTATTGGATAAATTTTGTGTTACATGTGCGCTGCGAACGATCACAAATATCCTGGACTGCAGGTCGGTCCCTTCGGCACAACGAGTTTCCTTATGCCGTGTATGCCATCTTATGTCATGGTATGCATGTCAACAATTTGGGCTTGTTCTCAACATCACACGTTGTAGAATTATAAGTGAAACTTTACGCTCATTGCCGGCCGACGCATTTCTAATCATACTTAGGCAGCTCTTTTTTCTGAAATTTGTGTCCTGCTCTTACAAACCCCTGGTTCCGAAACTAAAACTCCGACTTTGAACCGGGACTGCTGTCGCCGTCAGGAGAGCCAACACGTGTGTCTGTGGCTGGGGGGGGGGGGGGGAGGGCAGCCCCGGACCGCTGTCGCCGTACGGACAACCAATAAGTGTGTCTGCGGCTGGGGAAGGGGGAGGGCAGCCCCGGACCGCTGTCGCCGTATGGACAGCCAATAAATGTGTCTGTGGCTGGGAAAGGGGGAGGGCAGCCCCGGATCGCTGTCACCCGCTGGACAGCTGACACGTGTGTGACAGCATTGGTCAGTCCAGGGCCGCAGCCAGCCTCCGGGCAGCCAACGCCTCAATGGGACGGGGAGGGCGGGGGACCAACGGTGGCGACCCAACCTCCCGCTGCTTTCACCAGGGGACCGGTGTGGCGGCGGTCGGAAGTTGGACCCGGGGCGATCAAGGGCATCAGGGTTAGGCGCAGGGTGTGCTCCAGTGTTTCACACAGTTGAAATGGTTGGGTAGGGAGTTTAAGCAAAGCAAAGTGGGAGGAAATTGTGGTCTGCGTACTGGCCACGCGTACGACACTCAAAGACACCCGGTGTGTGGCGCCGGGAGAGCTCGATGTCTGCTGGTGCCCTACCTTATTGACCGCGGGCTTCGTCATCCACTCGCGTCCAAGTTTCGTTTATGAGGGTTCGGGCCACGGCCTGGAGTGCGGCATCATTCACGTTACGTGATATTTCACATGACGATTCCGGCGTGCTCGGCCGAGGCTAGCCGTTTCTTTTTCTTGCAGACATCGAGTTTTTTACTGTAGATACGCCTCGTTGGGGCTGATTTGACCGGCCTTGGAGCGTGCCTCTGTGCCGTGTTGGACTGCTTGAGGGGGCCGCCAGGTCGCCGAGTCGAGTTCGGGCGGGACGGTCTTTGTTACGCGGTCCTGGGATCGGTCAGCACCCGACGCCATCCCGCCAAGGCACTGCGGCGGCGCACTGGCACGGCCGGACGTTTTATGTAATGCCGTCGCCGGGCCACTTGCGTGTGGCCGCGGAGGAAGCGAGGAGGGGGAGTGTCACTTGTAGCCGCCGTTACCGGTCCGCTGGCGGTTGAAGCCTGGCACGAGAGGCCAGGCGGCGGCTGGCTGTCCGGCCACCCGCCGTCCCCGTCTCGGTGGCCCCCGACGGCCGGCCGTGCAGCCCGGAACTGTCTGTTGGGGCTGGGGCCGGGCGGTGCCGCGCCTCCGACCGTCGGCGGGGTCACGCGCTCCCGAGGCGGCCGCCGGTCGGGGCGCGGGCGACGAGCGGGGAGGGGACACGTGTTGGGCTGACGGGAAGCTGGGAAACAGCCGCGATCTACAGACGAATCGGAGCAGTCGTGTTGAGTCTGTTTAGTAGATGTTTAGCTCGGACTAACGGCGTTCTCGCCAGTGGGACGCCGACCGTGGCGTGGGACGGGCAATGCGATGAAGAGATGCTATCACCATGCAGATGGCACCTAAAGGTGACGCGACACCCATCGTTTTTGGGAACCCCCGCAGATGGGCTTTTTGATGAAGTTTTGAAAAAGCGCAGATGAAGTTTTTGAAAAGTGCGACTAGTTCTGACGGAAATTCACCGGGCTCTGCACCCAGTCAGTTGCCACGTCCCCGCCCGTATCGGCTTAGGCCACAGTGCGTTGTATTTTAAATCTGCCTCGTAAGGGATGACATTGACGGCTTTTTGGTCTACTTCTGGCTGGTCTGTGCATAGAACTGTGTTGAGGTCGCGCAGTTATTTTTTGCTGGTTCATTGACTTGTATCGCGCAGCTGGTTACACCTTTTTATCTGCTCTGATGGCCGACATCTCACACCAGTCCTTAAATACACCGGTCGGATTCGTGATCCGGAAACACCGGAAACGGTGTTAAATACATCGGAAACGGTCGGATTCGTGATCTGCGCTTGTTTGCATGACGTTGCGCTACTTGGTGCATCCGCAAATTCGTCGCTATTCTGGTACAATTATGACGGCTGCCTCTGGGGGCCCGACTTCCGGCCGACGGAGGGATTGAGCGCGGCTGCTCATGGTAGCCTGCACAGGCACACCCGGGCCCAGACTGTTTCCAGAGCGGTAGTCCGATAGCTCCCCCGCGTAGATAGTGTTGTTTGTTATCATGTCTGTGACGCATGGGGGCCGAGACTGCGGCATGCTTCCGAGCATGTTTCTGAGCCGTGTGCTTCAGCTTTTTCGCAAAATGCATGCTCCATTACAGCTGAATGTGGAGATGACCTAGTGCTGAGAGCGTACTGTTGCAGAAATACGCAGCCTGATTGGGCGGTTTAAGTGCATTACAATTATGGCAGCAAAGCCTTGATTTGGCGCGCGGCACCGCGCGTGGGAGGGTGCGCACTAGGGCGTTTAGTGTAGCACCGTTAATTGCCTCCCTGGGTCACGCCCCTGCTGTGTTCCCGTATGCACCGGCGTCTGCCGGCCATGTGGCGGCCGCCGATCCGGGCGTGACCCGCCGCTGAGCGCCGCACTGGTGTCGGGTCTCATGACGTCACGTGTGTCCCGCAGTCGACGGCCAACTCGCCGGGCGGCCCGGTCATCCACGAGGTCACGGACCAGGTGTTCTCGCCGTCCGACGACGTGGTGGTGGCGTCCTCACAGCTGCCCATGGACTTCATGGCCTCCCCCGAGTAAGTAGCCTCCGGTCGCCGCGCGGCCCCGCTGGCGCCGATAGGGTTCGCGTGCCAGCCGCCTGACCCGGCCGGTTGTGCGGTCTGACCTGGCCTGACCTGGCGGCGGCTGATTTGAGCGGAAGCCAGTTTCCCAGCGTGATATGCTGAGCACCAGATGGCGCGAGTGTTTCGTGGTAGTTGGCACTTTTGGGCGCCTCGCCTGCGCAGTCATACAACGCCCACGGTGCGAGTGTCTCCAAAGCGGGCTGAAGCAGAGGAGCGTCGCTTCTCCCGTGTCGGTGGCAGAGGGCGGCGACTGATTACGCTGATCAGTGCAGTCGCGATGACGAAGCCCTGGTCATGACGAGCAGGGGAGAGAGTATTGATTCCCGAGATATGAGCACAGAGTGGACGCCGAGCGGTCGGATTGGGGCGTGCGCAGCCCGACAGTCGCAGGCCGGCGCTGCACGTCTCGTCCTTGCTGGAACATTCGCATGGTCTTTTACACAGACTGGCTATACGACGTTTAGTCAAGGCGGGGTCCGTGTAAGCCATGTCTGCTCACCGATGGCCAAATTACCACATTGGTTCCGAGAAGGCTGGGCTCAGCAAGCTTCCGCGAAAGCGGCCGTTTTGGTTCCCTTTTAGCTTCCCTGGACTAGTGCAGTAAAAACTAGCGCGCTTCCATGTCTGACATCACCATCGCCGGAAGGACGGAACGCTGGTGTAGCTGGTATAGCTGGGGCGGCATTTTGGATGTGATACTACCGTGGAAACGAGCCAGCCACCGTGTGCAGCCGTCAGGAAGCACGCATCTCATCGGACCTGCGACGTCATACTGTGATCAGTCGCAGGTCGGCCCGGCCGGCCGGCGTCGGGCAGGCTGGGACGTGACCCGCACTGAGCGCACCTCCCACCACGAGTGTTCACCGCGCACCTGTCCGGGCGAGGGCGTAGCCGTGTCAACCGCAGCACTGCTACTCTGACCCGCGGCGGCTCTCTCCGCCCGATTGGCGGCAGTATTGAGTAGGTCGCGTGCCTGCGCCGGGACCGCGCCGCTTCCCAATGAGTCGGCTGCGTTTGCGTCACAGTCCCTCCCCTCCGCCCTCGCCCGGCGGACATGGTGCTGGAGGTCGCTGTGTGCGTCAGGAGCTGCGGCTCGTAATTGCGTGGCGTATTGGGACCATTCAGTTCTCGGTTCGCGGGCAGCGATCCGGCGCGAGGGCGGCGGCGTGGGCGCGCTTGTCTGGCATGGCGGCCACCGCGCGTGATTCCCGCCGGCGTCGTCGTGCGTCGACGGGGCGAGCATGCGTAGGTGGAGGTTTGGGCGTGGTGGTGACGCAGGGTGATCAAAGCGGCTGTTGAAGGCTCCGGGGTGATCGCGCACTGGGGCGATGCGTTTGCGTGAGGAAGGTGAGGATTTGGCGCCGGCGGGCCGCGTGGGCTCGGCTCCCGCGGCCGCCTGCTCGCTGGCGCGCTGCGGCACGGGTTGCGACGGGATGCTGCCAGCGGTAGCGCTCTCAAGCCGCCGCTTGCCGCTGTCACTGGTGCAGGCTGGGTCTCCACTCTGGTGCAACATGACAGGTCGGCCAGCGGTCCTCCGGCTGTCTGTCACCACCACTGGTGCGAGCTGGACTCGGGCCCGGCTCACTGTGAGGCCCCGGCCAGCGGTCCTCCAGCTGTCTGTCACCACCACTGGTGCGCATGCCGCCTGACTGACCGCGCTGTGCTCGATAAAAGGGCATGGTATCCCCTTGGCCAGTAGAATGGCTGCTGCTCCTGAGTAGTTGCCACCGCGCAGGCAAACTTGGACTGGCAAGTGCTCCAGTTGATGCCCTCGATCTAGCAGGCGATTGTCCGTCGTGTGAGCGATCAGGCCCGCGATGCCAGTCACAGTGCAGGTGATCAGCCAGCTGGCGGCTGAGCGGGCGCGATAAAGGTGGTCGCGCCGGTTGGGCCGTCCGGGACAGCGCGCCACGGGTCCGCCGGCGGCGAGCCTGGCTGGCCGCCGGCTGGGCGGGTACGGCCTCGCCCCCCTCTCCCCGCGCCAGCCGGGCCTAGACGGAGTGTCAGAGAGCGTGGGGCAGGAGCCTGGCTGGCCGCCGGCTGGGCGCATGCCGCCTCGCTCCCCTTCCCCCCCCCCCCCCCCTCCCGCGCCAGCCGGGCCTACACAGAGTGCCACAGAGCGTGTGGCAGGAGCCTGGCCGGTGTCGATGATCCAGTGTCCGGTGCTGGGACGGAGCCCAGCTTCCAGCTGTGGTTTGTTCGGTGTACCTGACTGCAGTCTCCCTCACGGCTCTGTAGCGCGTCTGGGATACGAGAAGCACGGGGTTCGATTCTCCGCGGTGCCAGCCCCTTCTGCCAGGGTGAGAGGCAGGCGACGCCGTGTAGCCTCGGCAGCTGAGTGCGTCGTAAAGCCCCAATGACACATGCGGTGATGCATGCCCTGCGGATCACCGGCTGCTGGTGGTGACATGTATCCGTGCTGGTCTACTGACCCTGAGCTCTGTGTCCGCACCGGCCGGTCCGTGCCTGCGTGTGTGTGCGTGCGCGTACGTTTGTGCGTGTGTGCGTGCGCGTGCGTTTGTGCGTGTGTGCGTGCGCGTGCGTTTGTGCGTGTGTGCGTGTGTAGTGTGCTGACTGACGTCTGTACTGACGGCTGTGTGTGTCCGTGTTTTGCGCGGCAGGCGGCCGTCCACCGTCGACTGGTCGCCGGTGGCCGAGCAGCTGGCCGCCAGCCCGGGCCCCAGCAAAGTGGCCGACCCAGCGGCGCTGCAGCAGCAACAGCAGCAGCCGCAGAAACCCCCCAAACAGACACAGCAGCAGCAGAAGCAGCAGACGACTCTGCAGCACCAGCAGCAGCAGCAGCAGCTGCAACAGGTCCAGCAGCAGCATACTCAGCAGCAGCACCAGCAGCACCAGCAACAGCAGCAGCAGCAGCAGCAGCAGCAGCAGCAGCAGCAGCAGCAGCAGCAGCAGCAGCAGCAGCAGCAGCAGCAGCAACAACAACAACAGCAACAGCAGCAGCAGCAGCAGCAGCAGCAGCAGCAGCAGCAGCAGCAGCAGCAGCAGCAGCAGCAGAGGAGGAGGCCCAGCAGCAGCAGCAGCAGCAGGACTCAGTCGTGGCGCTGCCCTCGGAAGCCAGCACTGAGCCGTGAGTAGAGGTCCGCTTGCGGCCCCAGTCGTCAGCGCCACAGTATCGCCTTCACAGCGCCTTTCAGCACCTTCCAGCACCCATATGTACATGTGCATCGCCCTTTGTATTGCGGCGACACCAAGCTGGCGGTTTTGCGACCAGCTCTGAACGAGGCTAGCCTCACCAAGGTCATGTCACTCAAGCATCGGAGCTCCCCAACGGCAACTGGTGTCCTGGCGACCTCCGTCCGACTCCCTTGTCCCCCCCCCCCCCTCCCCCTCCCCGACTGTAGCCCAAGCCGTGCGTCAGCTGACTGGGCTCGGACTGCCCTGACCAGTCTACCGTTCAGCTTGCTGCGCCCTGTCTGGCGGCGTGCCCTGCCCTCTGACCGACCGCCTCGTGCCGTCATCGCCAGGACCCCGGTGCTGTGCGACAGCCTGCTGGAGAGCATCCAGGCCGATCTGGACGGCCTGCGCGGCCTGATGGGCAGCCCCAACTGGCCCATCGACACCATCTCCATGCAGAACGTGAGTGTGCCTGCCGCAGCGGCCTCACACCGCGGCAGTGTCGTCCCGTGTCATCCTGCACCTTGTACCCACTGCGGCCATGTTGTTCCATGTCGTCCCGTGTCGTCCTGCACCCTGTCGTGCCGGCGGCCGAGAGCGGCGTCGGGCGGTGGCGGCCGGTCGCTGGTCACGCCTGGGTTGCCGCCGGTCGGCCGGTGCCGTCTCGGCCCTCAGCGGCAGGCCCCACCGAGCTGGCGGCACCAGCTCGGTTCGGACCGCCGGCCTGCCCATCGCCGTGTCGCAGGCTCCACGCATTCGGCACTCATCGAGACGGAGGTGACCCACCACGGATGGTTGTGCCGGTTCCGTTGTGAGCGCCGCGCTGTCGTTTGCTTGACCGTGGCTGCACCGGAACCGCTCAGCCTTAACTTTGGAAACAGCTCCAGCTCGTGTGGTGCCACCAGCTCCGTTTAGAACAGTTCTGGGAGGGCAGAGCACATGGGTGAAGGAAGTGAGCGTTAAGAAGGAAATGGCGCTGGGCAACTGAATGTATGTAGGGGAAGACTCCAAGCCACAGTGATGTACTCGCGCTGCCCGCCCGCTCCGCCAAAGTGTGGGGCAGGCGACGCCACATGCCTTCGGCAGCTGGGTCCGTTGTCGAGTCCCAATGACGCACACCTGTGGGTCACGATAACGTTTTGGTGTTGCGTTCGCCTGGTGATTATTTTGCTATACATTCGTCATAGTGCGGCCTTTTATGTCCTACCGACGCTAACTTCGGCCGGGTTAGGTATTTACCACGCTCTTGCGTCCGTGGTGTGGCCGGTGTCTAGACGCGTGATGGCTATTTAGGGCATCCTGTAAGCCTCCTGGTCTTGCCTCCCATATTGCAATCGTCATATTGGGTCGGTCCGAGGATATTGGCAGTACGCAATGGCTTCGTTGTGGCTCGAGAGCAGGCGGCTGCTGCAGCCGCGTGCAATTGTAGACAACACCCGACAGGCTGCGGGTAGCGTTTCGCGGCTCGTCAGACGTAATGAGGGCGGGGCTTCGCCGGAAGTGGGCGGGTTCCGGCCGCTGGCGCGTGGCTTCCGTCGGCGTCGGCAGGCGGCAGGCGGCAGGCGGCAGGCGTCCGCTGTCTGCCCGTCGTCTGGGGCGGCCGTCGCCTTGACTGACACGTACCCCGGATTTGGCCCGTGGCCCCTAGTCTGGTCCACGACCCGTGATCTGGTCCGTGCCCGTGATCTGGCCCGTGGTCTGATTTGGCCCATGAACCGTGATCTGAACTGATTTGTGGTCCATAATCTGATCCGTGGTCCGTGATTGGGCCTGTAGTTTGAAATCTGGTCCATGACCCGTGATCCGGCCCATGGTCGGTGACCTGGTCCATGGCCGTAATCCGGTCCGTGTTCCGTGATCTGGCCCGTGACCCATGGTCTGGCCCGTGGTCTGTGATCTGGTCCGTGGTCCGTGGTCCGTGAACTGACCCGTGGGTAGTGATCCTACCAAAACCCGTGATCTGACACGGTGGCCCGTGACCTAGAGACCCGCATTGCGGGGCGGTGGGGGGGGGGACGAGTAGAACGTGCTATGTAATCACTTGGTGTGCGATGGAATAATGGTGTTGTCCGTTGATGTGGGTCTCACTCAGCTGGGACGGCCATGCGCCGCTCCCGCCGGCTGTATTCAGCCGGTTACCCGCTTTGCCGGTCTGCTGTTCCACTCAGCGGGAGTGCTCCTGCAAGAGTGCTCCGCCGTCGACGACCCGTGCCTGCGGGCCTGTGCACACGTGCCTGATGGCCTGCGCACACGTGCACCCCAAATCGGAAGCGCGACTCGATCGGCCGACGAAGAATGTCACGTGGCGGGCTCGTGCGGCAGGCCGCTGTCAGCCGTACGCTCGGATGTGCTCCGGGAGGGGCGCCCCAGCGGGACGCCGACAGCTGGACCGATTGGGGTCTGGCGATGTCCGGCAGGCGCGTCAGTGGCGACGGCTGCCGGCGGCGGGCCGGCCACGCCACTGGACCCGGTGTCAGGCGGCGTCCCTGCTCCTCGTGCGTGTTTCGGTGTCAGGCGGCGTCCCTGCTCCTCGTGCGTGGTCGGGTGTCAGGCCCCTGTGAGGGGTCCGGTGTCAGGCGGCGTCCCTGCTCCTCGTGCGTGGCCGGGTGTCAGGCGGTGTGCCTGTTCCCTGTGAGGGGTCCGGTGTCAGATGGCATCCCTGCTCCTCGTGTGTGTTTCGGTGTCAGGCGGCGTCCCTGCTCCTCGTGCGTGGTTGGGTGTCAGGCGGTGTCCCTGCTCCTCGTGCGTGTTTCGGTGTCAGGCGGCGTCCCTGCTCCTCGTGCGTGGTTGGGTGTCAGGCGGTGTGCCTGTTCCCTGTGAGGGGTCCGGTGTCAGGCAGTGTGCCTGTTCCCTGTGAGGGGTCCGGTGTCAGGCGGTGCGCCTGTTCCCTGTGAGGTGTCCGGTGTCAGGCGGTGTGCCTGTTCCCTGTGAGGGGTCCGGTGTCAGGCGGTGTCCCTGCCCCCCGCGCTGGACCGGCGCCGCTGTGCGGCCGGCTGTCTGTGATTTCCCGTCCCCGCGGCGAGGCGGATGGACTCCCCACGTGACATGGCTCAGCCCGGCTTGACAGGCGCCGGTCATGGAGAGTCGACTGTGCTCTGGGATGTGGGGCCCGCATCGGCGATGTCGCCGACACGCATGCGGCGGCTCAGGAATCCGCCCACACCGCGCCAAAATGTCCGCGCCATTTTTCATCAAGCAGAGGCCAGGAATTTATGGACCATGACTCCGCTCTTCCTGTGACAAATCGGCGCTGCGCCCCAAACTCGATTCGGGCGCGGTAAAGTGGATGGTCGCCGCCGGCCTGGAAACTGCGCCATGCGCGACGAATCATCGCAGTTCATTGAGTTACTGTAACGCCCGCTGATCTGTCATACGGCCCATCGGCCGCTGATGGTGACGTGCGCCGGTCGGACGAGAGCACGTCTCACCGGCGCCCGTCGGCTGCTGATGGTGACGTGCGCCGGCCGAACGAGAGCACGTCTCACCGGCGCCCGTCGGCCGCTGATGGTGACGTGCGCCGGTCGGACGAGAGCACGTCTCACCGGCGGCCGTCGACGCGGACGCCGCCGCGTCATCAGCGAGACGCGCGGTCCGCAGGCGCGCGGCGTAACTGGGGGCCGCGGTGGTGGAGGCTGCCGGACCGGTGGACTGCCGGACCTCGCCGGGACGCCCGCTCACGGCCAGCTGACTGGCGCCAAGCATGCTCTCCTGTCAGCTGATGCCATGTGAGCCGGCCACGCCAAGAACTCGCCGCTTGAAACCTAGCAAGCGAAAGCGATGGACTTCCCCTCAGTTTTGCTCGCGTGCTTACATGCTGCACCTGACAACTAAAAGGTTTCCAGTACACGCGGATTCGTACAAGACCAAACAGAGCAACGACGTACATCATGCAGATCAGATGAGCTGTCAACGGCCTTTACTGAGGTCTGGTGCGCTGATTTTGCCACCTCATTCTTCGAAAAGCCAACGAGTTTGTTAGCGCATTGGGGCGAGTAATTTTCAACCGCTACACGGCTGGAAAAAACATTGATATGCGGCATTTATGTATTCAGTTTACACGTCCTGGTTCAGAACATCACGATAGTATCAGTAGCAAAATGGCATAACACGGTTATGCTGTGTGCAGATAAAGTATATCGCCAAAATGCAATCAAGTTCTGCTCCCACTCTCCACTTCAGTGTTTGTCATATTTTGTGCGCTGAATTTTACGAGACGTGCCCACCGTCTGACCGCGTTTTGATGAAAGCATGCGTCGGAATTCGTTTCTCTATAGCATGCCATTCGACGGGACGTGGACGACTTGCGTTGCTTCCTTTACGCCAGCTAGGTGATTCTTGGGACATACGCCTGCCAGTGAAGCGGAGCTTTTTGTTTGATTTTCTTAATAGTTTCCGTGACGGGGACGTGCGCCGAATGGTACTGAATCCATATCTATATTGTCGGACCACAGAGCACCGATCAGTTATGCCTGTTTTGTTTGGTTTTGCTACGGAGGTACCTGGACCGCGCGCGGGAAGTGTCGCCAGCTGCTTCCCCACACGACTGGAAACATTTTGCAATGTCCCCTTAAGATTGTTGAACGGTGTGTCCAAGTGGAAACATGTATTGTGCAGCGGCGCCAGGTTTTATCAGCCCCCGTGTCGCGTGCTGCATGCAACTCGTTCATGGAGCGGAGATGCGGAGACGAAATTCTACTTAAGTCGGTGCAGCCGACGCATGTGAATGAGGGCCGGCGGGCGTCCTAACCCAGCAGCGTCTGGCGGCGCCTTCCGCTGGCGCCTCGCCGCGGGCACCAGGGAGCGGACTAAGCGTCTGCGGCGGCGGCGCCGGATACCGAGCCAGCCAGTGCCGCGTACCCTGACCACGTCACCCGCCTGTCATGGCGGTGACCAGTGCAGACGGAACGGCTCAAGGCCAGGGCCGCCCGCTTTCTTCTCTCCACAGACGTACTACACGTGCGTCATTGAAAGCAGTCGGTTCAGACAGGTACGAGAAACAACTCCAAACATGCGTAATATTTGGTGTGTTACACTGGTACCCGTGCTCCCGGGTGGTCGCCGTGCAGACGGCATAGCCTACAGAACAGGCCGTCTATCTCACCGCACGTCTGACACGTGGCGGCCGTGCAGACGGCACAGCCTACAGAACAGGCCGCCTATCTCACCGCACCTCTGATACGTGGTAGCCGTGCAGACGGCGAAGCCTGCAGGACAGGCTGCCTATCTTACTACACGTCTGACACGTGGTAGCCATGCAGACGGCACAGCCTACAGAACAGGCTGCCTATTTCACCGCACGTCTGACTTGTTATTATGAGTATGTTAAGCTACTGTATTCAGTCAGCCCAGGCTGCCATCCGCCTGCACTGAATGTATTTCCTCGCCGGATACGGCGCACACCAGGACGTGGAAACGGCGGTCAGGTTGGCACTCGTTCGTAGGTCATTCCCTCAGATTGGGAC